GTTTTTTTAAGATTGACTTTTACTATATTTAATAAATTTAATGAGGTAATTTCTTTTTCCACTAAGAAAGTTAAAAACTTAGCTTCTTTTCCTTAGTTTTCAGTTTAACTGCTGTCTTTCTTCAAAACTTCCTTTTTTAATTTATGAAGAAGCTGTAACAGTCAGTAGTTTGCAGGGCGGTACGCATTAAAAATGCGGTAGGTAATAATCTGCTGGAGTATTAATGACTTGACGAAAGTGTAAGTTAAGCAGGTGCAGTAGCTAGCTTTACAAAAAGTTGCCACACAGTCAAATCTAGTAAATTTTCTTTAACGAGACGTCAACTATGTAGACCTTAACTTTTTGAAAGTTGATATTTTCAGACAGATTTATTCTTTCAAGTAACAAAAAATCTATTTCATCTTTGAAGGTAGTTGAATAAACACTTATATTCGTAAATATGTTATGAAAAAAAAATAAAAACTGAGAATTTCGAAAGATTTTATGACATTGAAGACGTGTTTTTGAGAGAAGGCAATATAGTGCACAGTATTTACGGATATTGGAGCTTCATTTTTCTGCCAATATTCTCGCAATTCGTTATATTTCTTAAAATAGCTGAAGTGACATTTTGGAAAAGGAAAAAGACGCAGCAAGTATGATTCAATCTACATGTCTTAATTTCTTGTCTAACTAAACGGTAAGCTCAATTTTAGGTTACCTTTCAGTTTGAACTTTTTTTCGTTTCCTGTCACCTACACATACATCTTGAAAAGATAAGTTTAAAGTAATAAAATAGAGATTTCATTAGAAAGAATATAAGAATTGTACAGCGAGAACATCACTCAACATAACTAAAAAACAAAAATGAAAGATAGTGGCAAGTATTATATACCTTAGAGAAAAAATAAATATTAAAAGATAATATGACTTTTAAGTTTCACCTTGACAGGATAACGAACTAATAGAAAATTTCTAAAGAACAGTCACTGGAAAATACGAAAGTGGTAACAGTGGGGAGAACTGAATAGCAGCAAGTCGATGAAGATCTTTTTTCTCGGAATTAATGCCTTTTTAGTCAGCATGCCTATTTTGTAAACTTTTCTTTCTAGCGAACTCAAAATGTTATCAGCTTGATAGCCGTTTTCGCGCATATGCTAGTCAGATATTCTTCTTGAACTGTACAGGGCAATCGCCTCAATTGCTTGAAACGACTATCTCTGTTCCTACAAAGTCTTATACTATAGGTGATCAATCTTTCATATCTGGACTGAATCGTAAAGTGTAAGTAAATAAATGAACATTAAACTTTCCGACTGTGTTCAGAATCTAGATTCCGGCTAATCGTTTCATTTTGCAACTAAACCACCTACAAAATGCACTGGTTGAAAATAAAAAGCAAGGCATCATAATAATCGTATGCTCCAAAATAAATTGTTTATTATTTGTGTTATAGCTGGAAATGAGTCAGCATAGCTTGAATATCAGTAATATTTTTACAGAATCGACTTCTTCTTGTCGAGCCCAGTTGAAACTCGGCATACAGCAGATAGAGCGCACAGCAACAAAAATTTCAATAAACAGCAAATTTTTAAGATATCAAACCATAAAACGCAAGTTTATTTCTTATTAATGTAGGTAGTTAAAGTTTCATTCACGGTTGAAAATTGGTAATGTGAAGTTACACTTCACTTAATGATTCTAAAACCAGCTTCAAAACTTAAGCCCGACGTTTACAACACCTTGACATTGCCGGTAAATTATCTTTTTTAGATGTTAAGTGATACAAACTGATAAAAGAATGAGACAGGGTAAAGAAGGAAATAAACTACTAGCGGTTGAGATTTGTTTATGTTGTAGTAAAAACGAAGCAAAATAGTATTCTTTTTTTTGCTCTTTCCTTACTTATAGTTTTTTTGGGAAATTTAAAGAGTAACTGAATATGTTAGAAGTGCTGTAAAAGAATAAGAAAAAAGAACAAGAGAAATCATTTGTATTGAAAGTCTGACTGCTAATTATTTGTTGCTATAAATTCCAAAAATTTTTTAGTCTCTAGCAGTTACTGCACTACTTTAAAAGTATAAACGCAGTAGTTCCCATTTTTAAAAAGGTGCTTTTTTTATCAAATAACATTGCTCTGTTGAAAAGGAGAGTTAACTACTTACAGAATTACCAGTTTATCACAACGTGCCAAACACGCTTTTTCTGAAAAAAAAAAAAAAAAAACTGCGAAAGTGTTTAATTACTTCAGTTAAAAATCACTGCTTATTGACAATTTTGGCAACATAATGGTTTATATGTCTGTTCTTCGACGTGATCTACTCACCGTAAACGGTCTATCAAATCCTACTTAACCGATAGTATGGTTACACAAAAATTAACTTAAACTTTTCCTATTATAAATGTCGGTACTAAAGCGTATGAATAAACAATTCATATTTCAGGTGTACTGTACCTTTAATTTTTTTAACGTTTGTTCCCGAAGAAGAAGATGACGTTTACGTGAAACATTTATCATGAAAAAAATTGTTTTTCTTAACCAGTCATTAGCTCGTTTAGTGCAAATTAAATATATGCATATGCTACCGAATCAGTTGGTGTTAAAAAGCGCTCAAAAAATAACATTTTTTTCTTTATTTAAGTTTTGGCTATACATATTTTTATAATCGAAACACAGAATTTTTCGGGTCCGCAACATCTTTCTGATTATAGAAGTTTTTTCCTTCACTATTCATATTAAATCTGTGTCGATGGCTACTATCATATGTCCCGCTGATAATTCGATCATGTTCTTTGAAACCACCCAGCAGTGTATCAATCGCTAATTTTTCCAGTTTCGCAAATGGAACTTCAATCATCGTATGCCATACGAAAGCACTTGCGTAACATACCACCAAAATAGGAAGACCTTCTCGGATACACTGCAATTAGATGCAGTCGTTAAGAAAATTTTGTGGAAAGAATTTTGAAACAATTTTTCTTATCTACCGAATAAATTTTTAAATAAGCGAAGCAAAATTAACAAATCGAGTTGATAGAAGAAACATACCGTACAAACAACATTAATAAAATGATACGGTTTCCGATCCCAGGATAAAAGGATACCAATAAGAGGGAAGTGTATTAAGAAAGCGCAGTAGGTAAGCCTGCCGAACGGTACCCAAGCTCCCTGCTCGATCAAATTTTTAATTGGTCCTAAAATGAGTAATGAGTACCTAGTAAAATGAGTACCTAGTTCTGCTAATAAGCCATTAATAAATACTTGGTGTGATACACCAGCAAGATCGAAAGAGAATTAGGCATAAAATTTAAGATTTTACACGTTTAAACACTTATCACATTAAGACATTTGCTGGCTGAAGCTTATGTACCTTACTGAGTATTGTTTTGTAACCTATTTTGATGTAAAAAGAAGCAAAATTCAGAAAATATGCAACCAATAGCCTTAAGAATGTGACAAAAATTTCGGATGTCTGTTTCATTTAATTTAAATATAAACTATAATGTTGTTTTCTTTCTCGACATGGCAGCTGAAATTAAAACAATTACCTGCCCAGTTTTTTTCACAGGCAATAACAATCCATGCTAATGCTAGCCCCCAACCAACTTTAGACCAGTTATGGTAGCTTGCCCGAGCGAAACTTGAAATTGCATTCTCTGGACTTTGCAGATAATCATAAAGACCAAAAATGCAGCCACCAAGTATTAAGAACGTTGCAGACCACAGCATCAGAATTGTCGACTGAACAACACAGTTAATGACTAGAATTCATCAAAGATAACCAGGAACGCATAATAAATGTAGAATTAGATAACCATACCCAGTTAAGTGACATTTTCCTTTCTTTTGTCTGGTAAAGAAAATAACCGGTATATACACCAATTAAGTAAGGTGAAAATCTGGCCCATGGAGCATTATAGAGCATTTGTTCAAACCACAATAGTTTTTCTGGTTTGTACATGCTGAAATTTAACTGATGCTCATGGAACTTTAATAATCACACAGTAAACTGAACCTTCATCAATTAACTGTCGTCATCAGACAACTAACCAACGCAGAGATCAAGAGATCATAAAATGCCACTAGCAGTGGTATTATTGATAACTTTTCAGCATATTTAATGAGAAAGACTAAATCATCATAAAAAAATAAAAAGAGAGAAAAGAAAAAAGCGTACTCCATAAAAAATCCAACATAGTTTACAGGAAAATCGTATTTCATAATAATAAAATAATTTAATATGGTGGTTGCAAACAGTAGAAAGCCACCCAAAATAAACCCAAACGTTCTCGATAAAAATAGGGGGACAAGAATTAAAGGGGCAATAACATGAATTTGCATATCAGCAGCCAAGTACCACGTGTGTGCCATACACTGAAATATGAATTAAAGCAAGAACCTGACTTAGCGTTCTTCTGATCTATCCTAAATCTTGCTGCCTATCATTAAATTATCTGAACAAAACTTAATTGTGATAAGCATTTAACATGGTTAAACCTGACAGCTTAAAATAAAATTTCAAAAGTTGCCTAAAACTTATATTTGAAGCAGAACTCTTATCTGTGACTGTTAAATTCCACTATAACTTTTATTACAATGTCATTTAAATTTACCGTTCCTTTATTGCCGAGAAAATTGTTGATGTAGAGCATATTTTTCCACCAGTATTTTTTACATGAATCCAAGTTCATCTGGTTATTTGGTAGGGCTGGCCCATATGTAATTTTGTCGTATATTGCTATTCCAAAAGCCATGAGAGTAAAATAAGGAATACTCAGCCTTGAAAAGCGGTCATTTAAATCTGATTAGTAAGCTTTAAAAAATGAATGTCATTTGTAAATAGCAATTACCTGAGGTACCGATGCAGGTAGTAAAGGCTCCAATAAACTGGCGATCGCAGTAGTGAAGAGTTTCGTTTCATGTCTCTGAAGAAAACATATGCCAACAGTAGTCCTCCAACAAACAGGAATGTGTCGACAGAAAAATAAGCGTTTATAAAGATGTCGTTTAAAAAGAATTGGGTCGCTTTTGCTGCTTCCAATGGGTTATCTACAGAACAAAGCACTTTTTTTGACTAGTTGAACTCTAATCGGCTACTTCATTCTTTTTCTGGATTTACAGACAGTAAGGAGCATTAAAATTCTGTTAGATGTTTTATTGCTTTTAAGTTTAGCAGACCTCCGCTAAGATGAAGTTCAAGAACGTGAGAAATGACGATCCACGACATTGTCAACGCTCGTAAACAATGTAAACAGCCAATCTGACCCGGAACTTTTTCTGGATTTACTAATTCTGCACAATTGGTATAAAGCGAAAATGCTAATAAACATCGAATCCCTGTAATATTTTACTTTTTTTTATATTTTCGTTTTTAGGTAAAAAAATGAGAGTGTCTGTCAAAAAAACCTTATTTCTTCCCTTGTATAATTTATCGTCAAGTATTGCGCTCTGATAATGATAAGTAGATTTTGTACATAACTTTTTTTAGTCTAATCAACTGCTGCATGCATGGGCAACCACCGCCCTGAATAAACTTTACATTCCTTTTTTTAGTGCATACTCACCTTTGTGTCTTCGCTGTTCGGCATACAGGTCAGAATCTGTACAGTAGTCAGCTGTGGTGGCTGCTACTACAAGAAAAACTAGTATGATACAAATAGTTCTGAAAATCACTGATCAATTATGCACAAATGTTCCCATAATTTAATTTAAAAAAACAAGCAAACAGTTGAAAAGAAAGTTTTTTTGCTTCTCAACAAAGATTATGTGGAACAATTAAAAAATTTTTTGATACTTACATCACTATCCAAAAATAGAGATTCTTTTTTGGTGCCTCATATGGATAACAATCCACTTTGCAAACCCTGATCGAATTAGTAACAGGTTTCAACGACGTGTGCAGAAACTTTAAAATGTCCTTAAAAAATATCTATAAATCTCAGAAAAAACAGTGAAGCAGAAAAGAATCTGGACAGGTCCTCTAATCCGCGCCTGTCGACAAAGTACTGCTCAGGCCTTATAAGAAAATTACGGTAAAAACGCTGATACGATATATCCTTCAAAAAATTTATAATATTTTCTGTTGACCTTTTAGTGCAAACTCAATTTCCAAGAAAAAGTGTCTGTTTTCTAAACCATCTACGAATCACATCTTATTAAAAATCCATCTTACTAAGATTAAATATACTAACGTTTTCCTGACAGCTTCTCGGCATACAAACAGTCCAACGGGCTAGTACCGGTGATAAGCAAACTTTATCACCCTCAAACTGCAAAGGGGAAAGATTTTTTTTAGACAAAACTTTAAAAAAGATCTAAGAAGTAAAAATTTAAAAAAAGTTTTAACTTTGCAGCTCTTAGCTTTGCTTCCATCCCTAAAATAAAAAAAATATTTTAATAAATGAGCAAACATTTGAAAACAAATAAATAGCAGGCAGCTAACTTCTTCAAGGCTGTAAAATTTATCCTTAACAAATGGAACATCAAATGTTATTCCAACATGAGCATAACAGTACTGCGTGCTATAGGAAGGCAAAGCAACAGCTTTTACCGACAGACATTCTTCCCAAGAACCAAGCCATATCGTATTTACAGATAACAGGTTACTCGGTATCCTCCCATAAGAATCCAATTCTGTAAAATCTTCATACGTTGTAGTAAAGAGAAGACGCTGTTTTTACGATGTCTAACATTGAGTTTCAAAATAAAAAATATTTTTTAAATGTTCTTTGTTTGTTAAAAAGAACTTTACGTCTAACAGCGAACATATTGTTTTCCTCGTCCTTTTCCTTTCTCTCGTCACAGTCGATTTCATCAGAGTCGGAGCAGTTTGTGGCAATTGCATGAGAATAATTATGCAAAGAATCTATCCAGAAATGGAGATCACTTCGGCAGCTTTCATTTTGCACCGTTTCATAAGTTTTTAGAGCCCATCGACGCAGAAACCATCCAACTCCCTAAAAATCGATCAAAAAACCCGTAATTTGTTTAATTACGGTAAAACAACAACAGAAATGATTTTGGACTTAATTTTAATAAAAGTTTCTGCTAGATACTTACGCTATAAAATTGAAAAAAACTGCTCGGTGATAGGCGTTCAGATTCAGCAACGGTTAGGGGCAAAACGAAAAGCAAAAAGTATACAGGCTTCATGTAGCATAAGATCCTGAATGTTGACAAGAAAAACACTGTTGAGTGCTGTGATTTTTGACCAGATGCAAAATAAAGTTTTTGGCTGCTTTTTTGCCGTTAGTTTGAGGTTAACAAAAACGTTGCCATCAGTATGTCCTAACAAATGCAACGCAAAATAATACAATAGCAGTTTGTTCTACCAATTTTCTTCTTTCATTTAGAAAAAAAGTTAAAGAATTTTATGATTTAGTCTTCAATATAAAAAATAAAAAAAAAAATTTTAGTTATTTTACCTTTTTTGCACCAAATTTGTATATGACTGAAAAAAATGATAATTTATTGTCTAGTTAAAAATTCCAAAGAAGTCTTTAATATCTCAGCAACTACCAAACAGCTTTAAAAGATTTACCAAAATTGACATTCAAAGAAACAGCAAGTAAAGGTACTATTTACCTGACATAAGAGATCAAAATAAAGACGAAGGATTATTTAAATTGTTTCAACCGATTCTTTATGAACTGTCAAAATGTTGTAGACGACCTTCTTATTAAGAAAGAAAAGAAAAAAAGAAAAGGAGCAATAATTCTCCAATTTCTTCTACGTGAATGTCTCAGTAGCCTACACGTTTGCTCCAAAAATGATTGAAACAGCGAATTTTTCAAGCAAATTCAGTAAAAAAAAATTGAATTGCGTGTGCTGTTTAGTTGCGCTTATTGTTCCCATTCCATAGAAATATTTGCCACAACAAAACAGTTGAAACAAACCAACATTTGCTTACATCACTTTGAGAGACTGAAAACGTTTCCCAAATTTTTAACTACTTTGTTAACACTTTTAATGTGTAGTTGCGAAATAATTATAATAAAAAAGTTAATTGATTCAATAGCTTCAAATCTAAGTTATTACGAACAGCGCTGTAAAGTTATTGAAATCAATACTGTCTCATTTTGAACTCGTTCACAAATAACCTGGTAAAAACTATCCTAATAAACCAGACAAATAGAACGTTAGCATTATGAAATGCCTGTTATGGGATGCGGTAACGGTGACCTACGATCCCAGTGTCGTAAACGTACCAGTTACGAAGAAAAAAATAAAGCATGTCTAAATTAGCTGAAAAGTTGCAGCAGCCTCTATCAGTTAAGTTTACATCTAATTCAAAAAATAATAATAATAATAATTTGATTTTAGCAAAATCCCACTCTTAATTTTTTCAGCTCAAAGAAAAGTTATTTAAAAACTGAGTGGCAAGTTATGAGCTGAAATGAAACAGGTCCAAAATAATTATTCTTTTTCAGTGCCATAATAGCAACCCAATGTTGACGAATTTAATTGTGTAACAAACATATCGATGTCCATTAGTGAATTAATTTTGAATTAATGAAATGACTTTCTTAAATTGTTTTCTTCTAATGAAGAAGACCGAAACAATCAGTGAAGAGTTCCGAATGCTTTAAGATGACATAATTTGTTATCACTTTGCGTAAGTGCAGTAGAAATGTATGTATGCTCAGTTTAAAAACTTTTCAGAAGCTATCAGCTGATGATCAGTACATATACCTGACCTCTAATCAGTCTGCGAAGTCTCTGGGGGGCTGCAGTAACCTTGATAAAGTGCCTTTAGGAAGCAGTGGCGACGTATAGGCGCGTTCATTTCCAATTTGGTGTGAAAATATTTTTCGCACAGAGACCAGGATTATGGTAACATGGCGGCTAGCAACCTGGGCAACTGTTGATCTAGGTTTATATTAGGGCGTTTTTACCAGCCTTGCTGTGGGAGATCTGTGGTAATTTTAGCGGCATTCTCTCTGTCAAAATTCTAGGGCAACAAGCTGCTTGCTGAATTTATTTGAAACTTGGTTCCCTTGCTGAGTTATTAGCCGGGACGTGTCATCGTGTTGAACTTATTAGTATACTACTTTTGTTACTTCTCGAGTAAAAAAAAACTTTTATTTGCCCGGAGACTGATTTTTTTTTGATTCTTAAACTCTAAGAAGTGTTTATGTGAACATGTAAAAATATTGTTTATGTGGCAGTTCATGTGGCAACAAAGGTATAGGTACCTTTGTCCACATACCTCGTAAGACACAAAATGCAGCACCAATCAAGTTTCCAACTGATGTTTAGATGTTGAGGGCCTTTCTTACCACACTATTCAAATGGTTTGGGGAAGTTTAACAAAAACCATACCTTTTTCAGAAACAGCAAAAAGATTAGAGAACGACAGAAGATGGATATCAAGAGTAACACCAACCAGATACAAAACCTCAATATATAATCCACTGTGATAAAATCGTTCACCGCGATGTTGAGTGGTGAACCAGCGAAAGAACAGAAGAAATAACAAACAGATCAACCAGCAAAAAAAACATTCTAAGAGTGGTTCCAGTAAATGACAAAATCTGCAAAAAAAGAACGCGGAAACACTGTCTAAAAC